CAGAAGCCGGCGACTGATCTGCCTCGCCCGGGAAGAGCACAATGATGGTGCCAACTTGGTCCAGTGAAGCTATCTCCTCCACAACTAGACTGAAGAACAAAACGACAGCAACTTGTCTGTTCCCCTTCCCCCAATTGCCCAGCGCTGTTCCCATCCCCCCAATTCCCCAATTAAAAATCTTAAAAAAAAAAATCATAGATAGGACTTGTATAATTGGAATGTAACAGATACAGCAGAGATAAAAACATAAAAGAATTTCATTGTATAAAACAACTTACTAATTTTACCCCAAAACATTAATATCACATAACATTTAAAGAAATTAAATCAGTAGTTTGAAATGTGCAAACAACACATGCACAACCCAGAACAATATCGTTTTACAGAAAACTCCCAAATATTCATAAAATAATCAGACTCTTACACAAACTAATCAAAATATTAAAGAGATAATGTGCCTAACTTTCAACCTCTTCTATGAGGCTACTAAAACCTTGATGTCAAAATCATATGTGAAATGGAGGACAGCTCAATGATAATTCTAAAATTAAATGCTAACACTATAAGTAACAAAAATCTAGCTGTCTGTAAAAGAAGCCTCATGACCAAGATAGATTCATCACAGGAATGAAATAATAGTTTAAAATTGAACTACCATGCCACCGCTTAACTCCCAGTACTTACATTAAAGTATAAATCTCACCCATTATGTTGTACATATTTAATATATGTACAGCTTTTTGTATTCAGTGATACCTCAATAAAGTAATTTAAAAAATAAGGACATGGGAACAAGGGAAACATTAAGTAAGCAAAATGGAAACAGGAAATAGGATAAGAGATTTTAAAAATTAAGAAACCACTATACCTATCTCTTTAAGATAATTAAAAAATATTAGTGAAATGGCCAATTTTTAAGAAAATTGTATTTACTTACAGAGGAATTGAAAGCAGAAGTAAATTTTAAAAAATTAAAGTTACCAAGTATTCCAAAACAGGTTCAACAAAGATAAAAAAAAGAAATTCTTTGATGTAGTTTATAACATTAAGACATTAAAGGAAAAAAAGTTGGGATACTTTCAAGAGGTGCAGAAAAAAAATCTGGTAAAATTAAACATTCATTCAAGATAAAAGCTTATAGCAAAATAAGGAAAAGAGAAAACTTCCATAACTTAGCAATGAGGACTAATTAAAGACAATCTAAAGCAAATACAGTAATACCTTGGTTTGCATGCATAATTCGTTCTGGAAACAAACTACTTGTATTGCAAGACATCGCTTGTTTACCACGTTAAAATGTATTAGAAATGTTTGCTTGTTTTGCAGAACACTCGCAAACCACGTTACTCACAATCCAAGGTTTTACTGTATGTGTAATGGTGAAACATTGTCCGTAAAGTCAGGAAGAAGAATATGTGTATCTCCTATTACAACTCATGTTCAATGTTGCACTAGGGGTATTCACTGAGTATTCGTATTGGTAAAATAAATAACTGATATAAAGATTAAAAGACATAACAAAACTTGCATTTTTTTATGGATAACATGACTGTTACAGAAAATCCAAGAAAATCAACAAAATATTAGAAAAATTAAGAGAGTTATGTAAGATTCCTGGATAGTAGACTAATATAAAAATAATTTATATTTCTATAAATCAGCAGAAACCAATTAGGAAATATAATTTTAAAATACCACTTATTACAGCAACAAATATATGTTACTAAGGAAGCTAATTTGATGGTGCAAGAACTTTACTGAGAAAGTTTCCAATCTTAACTGAGATGTTTAAAAAGACCCAACTAAACTATCTTTATTAATATAAATATCCAATGCTGTAAAAATGTTAATTCTTCTTAAATTTATCTATAAATTCAGTGTAATTCTAACCAAAATTTCAAGGTATTTCTGTGGAATTGATAAGCTTGTCCTAACATTAATTTGTTTGAGGAAAGGATCAAGAATAGCCCAAATATTCTGAATAATTTGGGAAAGGAACGAGTCGGGAGAACACCTCCTCCCAGGTATCAAAGATTATTGTAGCCTTTACAGCTTGTATGGTGTTGTGATGGTGACCATTGTCAGTACCTGCTGAAGGAGTAGTTTGTGACAGACAAAAGCTGTCATCAAGCACAGCTAGAAAATTCAAATAAAATACAACAAAACAATCTTTCATAGCATCATGGATTTGCTAAAGCAACAAAGACTGGAGGGTGAAGATTTCAAAGCAGGAAATCCACAGAGAGGTGGGCTGTTGTTAAGCAAGTAACTCTTTCTCTGGGGCCATGTTTTGCTTCTGGGCCCAGGTGTAAGGCTGAAAATCTGGGCTTGGCCCTGGCAGAGGCCGCATTTTGGGAAACAGAGAAACCAGCAGAGTTTTTGTTGGCCTTGTGAGGCTCGAGAGATAAAATTGGAGAGCTGAGTATCTCAAGATTCAGGTGAGAGGTAGAGGTGGAGGCATGAGCCCAATGGACGCCCATTTTGTACTCGAGCTATTAGTTTAATTTTGAACCTGTGAGAGGCAGGAGGCAGAAACCCTCTTGAGGTCAAAGCAGATGATTTAAAAAAAAAAATTAATTTCAGCGTGCTAAAGTAATAAGGGATTGGAGTTCAGAACCCGCCAGGGAAAGGCAGCAGTGAACCCACGAGGGTCTCAGTGGAAAGCCCTAGAAGTCTAACCCTTGAAAGAGGGGCAGCCAAGCTTTACATAAACTGTAACCCAGCCTTGACAGAGTTGTGTTTGCATTAAGGTGAGCAACCCTGTGTCCATCTGGTCAGCAGAGGAAAAGGTAGAATTCTCTACATTGTTTTATAATACACATGTTGTTAGGTGTTTAATAAGAACTTAATAGTCATATCAAGAGTTTCTGCAAATTACTTCTGTGAAACAAACTTCCAAAAGTTAATTGCTTAAAACAATAACAACTGATTATTATTTCTCACAGTTACTGGTTTGTCTGGGTCTACTAGGCAATTTCTCTGCTGTTACGTAGAGTCCTCAGGGTTCAATGATATGGCTGCATTTCACTGGAGCTCAGTTGGGGTTGAAACAAAAAGATGACCTCTCCTCTTCCATGGCCTTTCTCAGTGGAAATTCTCCTGCAGGAGAGCATGGATTTCTCCATATGCTGTGGTGCTTCCAAGAGAGCCAGTGCCAAGCTGCCAGGTCTCTTAAAGGCTAGGCCCAGAACTGACACAATGTCAGGTCCTCATTCAAGCGGAGGAGAAACAAGCTCCAGTTCTTGATGAGCCGAGTGGCATATGCACGTAAGGAGGGGAGGAATTGTTGGTGGCCATCTTTAAAGAGAATGTACTACACCAAGAAAGAGCCTATTACCAAAACCAGAGAAAACAAAAGTATCTTGAAACTATAAACAGAGCCACAGGTGATTCAGATGCTGGAGGATTTAGAAAGAGTTTGGAGTATTTGAAGGTGGTGATAATGGGAGTTAATATGTCAAAGGATGGATAACAACAAAAACAATACTGTAGGAGAGAGAGGCAAGTGCCAGATCATCTTGGGATTGTGGCCACACGGTGTAGAGTCAGACTTTTCTTTAATTGCAATATGAAGCAATTGAGAAATTTTAAGAAAAGAAGTGATATGATCTGATTCTCTCTGCATAAAACAGTTTGAAATTGAGTAGGAAGAGAAGTGGGAGATGGCTAATTCAGGAGAGAAATGACAGTGGTTTGGATACTTGGCAGGAAGGGAAGTGAAAAAAAAAGGCTTATCATCGTTATCTCTATATCTCTTTGACTAGAAGACATTAGTTTCCAAGTGGGAGATAATGCCAATAAGTTTATCTTTTAAATTGCTTGAAATGAAATTTGAAATTAGAGGGGACATACCTCTAATTTACTCCTTAATTGAAGTATAATATGAATATAGGAACACACATACTTCATAAATGGAAAGTTGGATGAATTATTACCTAGGCAACTTTTTGGTATCCTCTTCTAATTACTACTAACTCCTCTTTCCTCTCAAGGTAACCACTATTCTGACTCCAAATGTAAATTAATTTTTCCTGATTTTGAACTTTATATAAATAGAATCATTTAATATGCATTTTTGTTTCTGTCTTGTTTTGTGGCATCACATCGTTTTTTCTTTTTCACGATTTCTAAATCTTCTCCTCCTTTCACCCATTTCACTCTGTCCTCAACCAGAAATGTATACACTTATCCTTAAAAAGTATCTTTGTTCTGAGAACCAAGAGGCTTGATGATGGAAGAGAAACATTATCTTTAAATCACAATTAATTTGGACGTTTATTAATGTATTACTTCTGAGTGAGTCATTATTTTAATAATAACCAATGAAAGCAAATACAAATAAGAAATATTTCTGCTGAGAGTCATTTGTATAGCAGCAATTATATATTGCATAACAGCACACTGATCCCAGTTATACTTCACTCCTTTCTGCCCTTTAGCCTGAGAGGGAAAATCATCGGTGAAGAAGGGAGAGAACACCTGAGTTTAAATATGATAATTTATGACAAATGATTTATATCATCAAATAGCAGCACTCAAATAATCAGTCATAATTCTCTATAAATGTGAGGAGAGCCAAATTTAAAATTCAATAAGTTTAAGGAAACTTTGCTCTCCAAATAGACTATTGTGATTATTTTTTCCCCCTCTTTGCTTACCACAGAGGTTGTTTTTGCAAGAGTCTTCTTTTCCACACATAGAGCAGGATGTTCCTTTAATGTAAGGGGGCATGTTTGGAAAATTTCCTCTGTAAGAAAGAGAAACATTGATTAGCAAAATGGCTATTTAGTTCTAACTTTGTGCATTCATTTTTGCAAGTTGTTTTGATTACTAAGTCATGAATGTTGAAAAGGAAAAATAACTTTTGTCTCAATTTTGTGCTGGTAGGTTTTATAAAAAGAAACTGTAAAAACTGTTCTTTACAGGATATTTCTAATACATGTGGCATTTATAGTCTTGAATATTTTATGCAACACAAATTAGATGGAACTCAGTGTAATTGTATATGTGACAGCCACATATTTTTTTGTTGTAAAACACTAGGATTATCTATTGATTTTGTAAATGGAATAAGCAAAATTTAAATTGCAAATGGGAACATATACTTTATGGTTTAATTTAAAAGTTCAATACCATAGTCCTTAGTCCTTATCTAGTTCTGTTGGATGATGCACCCAAAAAATGGTACCATTTGGTCAACCATTTGGCAGCTATTATGCCTGCTTTTCAACAATATAAGCTGATACATTTTAACAAACACCTTTCCCCCCCATCTCTATGTGAAAGACTTAAAAAAGTGTTGCTTACCTAGAGTACACAAAGAAAAACAATAACATTAGTAGTATTCCATTAAAGAATAAGCCACAATTTATTTATCCATTCATCCACTGAAGGACATTTGAGTTGTTCCAGTTTTTGGCTCTTACATATAAAGTTACTATGCACATTTTGAACATTCATATATGTCTTTTTATGGACATACATTTCCTTGGATACATATCTAGGAGTGGAATAAATAGATCATGTGGTAAGTAAATATTTAACTTTAATAAACTGCCACACTGTTTTTACAAAATAGTTATGATACTTTATAGTCCCACAAACTGTGGGTGAGAATTCTAGTTCCTTTACATCTTCCTGTGGATTTGGAATTACCAAACTTTAGCTATTCAAATTGTGTGTACTGGTATTCATTGTGGTTTAACTTTGAATTTCCCTAATCATTAATGATGTTGAGGTTGTTTTCAATGCTCATTTCCCATCTGCATATCCCCTTTGCTAATCTTTTATTGATTTTAAAAATTATTTTAAGTTTCCTCATATCGAATTGTGACAGCTCTTCCTATATTCTAAGTCCTTCATCTGATATGTTTTGCAAAGATGTTCTTCCAGTCTGTAGTTTATCTTTTCATTCTCTTACCAGTACCTTTGAATAGCAGTAATTTTTAATTTTAATAAAACTCAACTTATCAATTTGTTCTTTTATGGATCATGCTTTTGGTGTGGTAGCTAAAATTTTTTGACTATCTTAGGTCACAAAGTTTTCATCTATTTTTTTAAATAAAATTTTTATAGTTTATAGATTTTACATTTAGTTCTCAGATCCATTTTGAGTAAATTTTTGTAGGGTGTATTTTGTGTAGATTCAAGTTTACTTTTGTTTTTTATGTATGATGACAAATTGTTCTAGCGCCATTTGTTGAAAAAAGTTTTTTTTTGACTGCATTGCCTTTGTGCATTTGTGAAAAATAAGCTGAACATATGTGGTCAACCATGTGTGGGTTTATTTCTCCTTATACTATTCCACTGATCTATTTGTCTAGCCTGTCGTCTGTTTTTGTGCAGTTTGTGAGCTAAGAATTGTTTTTTTTTTGTTGTTTTTTTAAAAAATATTTTTAAGGGGTTAGGCTATTTAAAGCAATACAAAAACACAAAGATGAATACGTAACAGAATGCATGTGTATGCAAAGCCTAACATATTTACTATTTGTACTTTACAAAAAAAGTGCAGAGAAAGTACTGCCTGGTATTTTACAGAAAAATTTTTGCTATTAGGTATAACATTATATACAGGTTTTTCATAGATGCCCTTTATTAGGTTTAAGCAGTTTCTTTCTATTTCTAGTTGGCAGAGAACTTTTATTAAAAATGAATGTTTGTCTTTTTCTTAATCTATTGAGATGATCCTATGATCTTTATTTTTTAGGTTGAATAATATGGCGAATTATATGGATTGATTTTAGAATTTTAAACCAGCCTTACATCCCTGGAATAAACTTCATTTGGACAAGATATATTATGTTTTTACTATATTGTTGGATTCAATTGCTAAATTTTGTTTAGAATTTTTGTACCTATGTTTGTAAGAGATGCTGCTCTGTAGTTATCTTTTCATTTTATCCTCCTTTGTAATTTGTGAATTTAAGGAATTTTCCACTTTTTCCAAGTTGCCTCTTGATTAATTAACCCTATTATTTTGTAATGGCCTTCTTTATCCCTGGTAATATTTTTTTCTCTGACATCTATATTATCTGATATTAATATAGACACGGCAGCTTTATTTTGACTAATGTTAGCATAGTAACTTTTTTCTCATCCTTTTTCTTTTCTTCTATTTGTGTCTTTATATTTAAAGTATGCTTCTTGTAGGCTGCATATAATTTGTTCTTGATTTCTTATCCAGTCTTCCAAACCCTGCCTTTTCATGGGTTTTTGTACCATTTACATTGAATGTGATTATTGACATAGTTAAGGCTGAGGCTATCATCTTCTTATTTTTTCCAGTTGTTTCATCTGTCCCTTGTTTCCCTTCTCTTTAAGTTATGCATTTGTCATTCTTGTTTTTGCTCTAACTGAGAGGGAGTGGAAGAAAACACAGAAAGAGATATACACATTTGTGCCTCTCCATAGCAATTTTAGCATAGTTCAGTTTCTTTTTACCAATTCTGTGCATTTATTCTTTGCCTGTTTTTTTAATCTTTTGTACATTTTATTTTAAAATTTTTGTTTGTTAAAGAGTTGAATTATTAATTGATTTTATCTTCTTCCTTGTACAGATTCATTGTGATCAGAATCTAAATTTCATAATTTTAGAGCCTTCCATTAGGCGTATATTGTTATGTTGTTTTTCCATTTAGATGTGCAATTCTCAGCAAGGCAATTAAAAATTATGGTATTCTTTTCTTAGAGGAATGTGCTTTTCACTATCATTCTGAATCATTTGCTCATTCCAGTTATGTTATGAGGTCAGAAAATTAAGTTCGCGAACTCATCCTCGATAAAGTATTTGCTGAATATCACTATGGTCACCTTCGAAGAACTCCCCTTGGGAAAATATGAACTGACGCCAGTGCCTAGCGCACCCTTCAAAGCAATTTTGGAACTCTGGTTCTGGAATGGCCAGCAGAGCTGTTGTCATATTACCCTTGATGTCCTGAAAGTCATCAAAATGTCTTCCTTTCAATATTTCCTTTATCTTTAGGTAAAGAAAGAAGTCATTGGGGGACACATCTGTTTCTTTTGATTAGCATTTTAAAGGGAAACTTCACTTATTAAAAAATACCTGTCTTTTTAGTATAAGGTCCTAATTTTAGAAACAATTCTTAACATTTATTTCAATACAAAATAATTTTAATAGCAATTAACTTACGTAGGTGCGTAGTTACATATAAATATTGCAGTTTGAGCTTCCCCAAGATTAGGACAAATTGTAATTGCACAACCAACTTTATGTGAGTTGGCCCAAACTACCTATAAGGAAAGGAATTTTTAAATAAAACATGCAAAACAACTCTATACCACAATGCATTATATGAATAGGTATCATCTTTGTCATGCTACAAAGAAATGAATATACATAAATGCTTACTGGCTCTTTTCCCTTAATTTCTAATATTTAATTTAAAACAATTTATGAGGGCTACCTAACTAGTTTTTACTTGCCAATGATTCTCATAAATCTAAAGAATATAATAAATAGCCAAAGTAATAATGTCTTCCAGATGACTTATGAAATATATGTTTAGTTTTTCTATGGGCATATAATACAAGCAATATTAAGTTCACACTATAAATGAAAATTATTAACTTTTATTTCTTTGTCTCAAAAAAATTCTACTTAGTTTATTATCACATTTTAAATTTGTGGTCTTAAACATATTCTTACCTCTGTCAAATCACAAGAGACAGATATGGATAGAGTTTAAGACATATTAAGTTTATTGCAACAACAACAACAACAACAACAATATAAAATAATGCCTACCATAGTATAGTGAATAATTATTTTTGTTTAGTTGCAAAAAATAGCAGTTACTCAAAAGAATAAGATTCCTTTGGAAAACTAGCCAGGGGAGAGATAGATAAAGAGGTGAAAACATTAGTATTCCTTTTTGACAATGACATAATGGAATTTTCCTCCATTTCCCAAATAAACAAAGGGAAAAAATACTTATCTACTCCTTTTGGAATACAAAATAATCCAAGGAAAATTGATGTAGATTTTCACAATTTCTGAATTTTACAATTCAGTTAACAAAATTTATTAACATATTTTATAAGTGATATGTTAGTCATTGTTTCCCATGGCCTGGGTGTAGCTGTAGTCAGCAGTTTTGAAAAACATATTTTAATGGTTTTTTTGGTTCCCTGAGAGGTAGCAAAGTGCAATAAAAGCGCAGTGAACTGAGAAGAGATGAGTTTTGCTTCTAACCATGTGTGTGGCAATGTAGAGTAGACAGATTAACTCTGAGCTAGCTTCCCACTAAGTAAAACAAGATTAAGCTAGATCCTTAAAGTACCCCATTCCTTTTGAATATTTTAGAAAGTTAATAAACTATGGCTGCAAGTATATATTTTCAAAAAATCGTGTTTAAAAATTTGGTTCATGAATAACTGACTATACCATGAAATTCACTTTGCTTAATATAACTAAATTGTTATTCATTTTAGCTTTGGGAATGGTAAAAATTAATATTGACTTTGTATAGGTTTAAAATATATTGCTTTCATTAAAGGGACTAGATGTAACATGAATATGAACATTGGTTGTAACTTCAGTATTAATATCTGAAGATGATAATTGTAAGAAATTTTAAGTTCATTTTGTTTAGAACATTAAGCAAGATACAGTTGTTGAACCAATATGAATGCACCTACTCCTAATTATTGGGTCATCGGGAAAGTCATGACGCATTTTTGCATTGAAAACATAGGGCTGGCCCAGCGGCGCGTTGGTTAAGAGCTGGGTTGAGACACCAGCTCTGAGCAGCAGGGCCCCGGTTTGGATCCCACATGAGGGCCGTCATGACGCTGTGCTCTCTACAGCTAAGATGGTGAACAACAGCTCCACCTGGAGCTGGGCTGCCGTGAGTAGGCTGCAGCCATGTAAGCTGCAGTAAGGCTGCAGTGGGCTGCCATAAAGCTACCATGAGTGGCCGGCAGCCAGCATGAGCTACCAAGAGCTGCCATGAGCGGCCATCCAATGGCTGGCAACCAATCTGCCTCACCTGGGCAGCATGCAATGATAATACCAACATGGGCCAGGGAAGCGACGTCCTCTACAACTAGACTGAAGAACAAAAGGACAGCAACTTGTCTGTTCCCCTCCCCCAACTCCCCAATAAAATCTTTAAGAAAAAAAAAACGTAAAAAGAAAAACATAGAAAAATAGTCATGACTTTCCCGATGACCCAATATTTAAATGTATGTGTAAATTAGCCAGTGGTGGGGGGTGAGCTCCCATTTCTGATGTAGCAATACTGAGGGGTATTTGAAAACAAGTTCCCTTTTCTTTACAGCAAAAGAGGAGGCAAAGAATTATATAAAGGCTGAGACTCAGCCTGAGACTTGATGCCACCTTAGGGAGATTGCTTTCTTGTTAACAAAATACCTGACATTTGACCCCATTCTCTCAATTTTCCTCAGTAGCCAAACCATATTCTTTGCAAGTAACATCTGTTCTGTGAAGGGCTGCCAGATTTATAGCATCCTGTTTTTGGATAAAGAGTGAATAGAAGGGGAGCATGGAAGCTGGTAATTTCTTTATTCAGTATACCTCTGTTAAACATGACTTGCTTTAAGACAGTATATGAATATTCAACTTATAAGGATGAGTAAGTTTGACAAAGAAATTTAGCTCTTTTTCTTCCTTAAATGGGCCTTCCCAGGAGCTCAGTGCCATGTCTAGGATGATTAGCTTGGCTAAAAAATGAACTTCCCATTTTTTGCCAAAAACCTCCACCTGAAACAACCAAAAGAATTGGAAAATTTATAGGAAATAATGTTTTTCGAAATACTGGACATAAAATAACAAAAGAATGCTCTCTGTGAGTGAGGAGGTGTGGGGAAATGTGAGCTGTGCAATCGTCCCAGCTTATTGCTTTGAGAGAGCTTCCAGGCCATGACTGGTTGGGTAGAGGTGGTGGGGAGCCAGGAGAAGCTTGATGGATTCACATAGTTGAGAGACAGAGCTGAGAGTCTGGGGAGACCATGGAGGCAGGAGTTTAGAGAGTGTAGTACTGCAGAGGTGCACATCAAACAGTGACCCTGCTGTGGAGATCTGCAGGGGGTCCACCTTCTCAAGTCCACAGAGTACTAATCAGAGCATGTGTGTGAGGAAGCTACCCTACACCTGAGAAAGAACTACCTATAAAAAATTCAGGAAAGAATACTGGTGCTTACATAAGCCCTGAAATAGGACTTTGCCCACTGGCCAGACTGGCAAGTTTTATCATTTCTGGGGCATTGGGCAGAGTATGCAGAAGAATTTTGCCTCACTGAGAGATAATTAGCTCAGTCCAGACGCTGCTTTCAGTCCAGACACTGCTTTTATTCCACCTAACATATTTTTAAAGAAGAAACCAAGAGGATAAAACAAATTCTAGGTAACTTAACTGTATCCCAGAGGAGAGCTCAAGAATATTATAGATATATAAATCTAGCATCCAACAAGGTAAAATTTACAAAGTTGGGAATATAATATCCAATGTGATAAGAAGCAGAAAAATCTGACCCATAATGAAGAGGAAAAATCAATCCATTGTAACTACCTCAGAAGTAACATAAATTCTAGTGTTAGCAGGGAAAACATTAATTAGTATAAATGTATTCATATGGTTAAAAAGCAAGATGAAAGATTAAGCGTACTAAATATAGTTACTGATGCTATAAAAGACACAAATAAAACTTTTAGAGATATAAACTTTAACATATAAGATGAAAAATAAACTAAATGTCGTTAGTAACAGATTGAACATCACAGAAGAAAATATTAGTGAACTTAAATACACAGCAGTAAGACTCTATGAAATTAATTTACTCCCACAAAATGAAAAACAATTCAAGAAAAAAGAGAAGAGACCATTAATCAACTTGAGAATACTCAAGTGGTTTTCTACATTGGTAAATGGACTCTGGGAAGAGAGAAGTAGGAGAGAGTGAGAGAAATATTTCAAGTAACAATAACCAACAGCCAAATTTGATTGAAATTATAGATCTACAGTTCCAAAAAGCTCAGTAAACTGTAGCACAAAAACATAAAGAAAACTTCATTATGAAGTTGCTCAAGACTAATAAAAAAAATTTAAAGGCAGTCAGAGAAAGAAGATATATTACCTACAAAGGAATAAATAAAATGTTAACAGATTGCTTGTTGGAAACATTGAGCATCTCAATGAATTAAATTGAGATGATAGTGGAGTAATTTTTAAAGATCAGAAACAAACAAACAAACAAACAAAAAAACGCCATAGACTTCTATGCCCAGTACAAATATCTTCCAAATGAAAGTGCGTTTTCAGGATACTCAAAAGAAACTGAAAAGAAAATGCTTGTCTTGTAATTGAAATGTGCATCTATAAGAACTAATCAACAAAATGTCAAATATTTACCTGTGTATAATGGCCACAAACATTGGAACAATGTAGATTATTATAATTAAAATATTGAGTTTCATTATACCAAGCAGCAACAGCAGAGTTTGGTGTGAATACGCTTAATCCTCCTAACCAGATATTTTCTCCAACATATTCAAAAGTTGGGTGGCATTTACGTGGTTTTGCTAAACAGGTGTTGTGTTTGAATATGCACCTGTTAGCCCATGCTTTAGTGGTCTTCGCTAAAGCTTCATCCCAAGTCTGAAAGATAAAAATAATTTAAAGTGTGTTATCTATATTTGTTTGGATTAAAGTTATTCTAATGATAGTAATCAATTAAATTTTGTTTATATTTATTTAAGTTAAATGTAGTTTTTATTTGGTATTTATTATGTTCGCTGTTAGTCATTTCTTTTTAGTTCTGCTTCAGAAACACTCGATGACCCTTTCTGTGATAGTTCATCTTTGTATTTCTAGTACCTACCAGATGTCCTGGTACAGTAGATGCATTTAGCAAATATATTTGAATGCCATTTAAATAAATCAGAGTTTACAGTCTAGTAATTCAGAAGGTCATGAAAACATATCATAAGTAAAGAATGAGTACCCATTTGTAATTAAAAGGCAAAAGCCTCCTAGCACACTAGGAATAGAATTTCCTTAATTTGATCAAGAGTAGCTACAAAAAAACCCAACAACCTTACAACAAGCTTTGGTATATAATGGTGAAATACTGAAAGCTTTCACACAAGATTGGGACTGAAATAAGATGTCTCATTATTTGTAATTAAAATTGTACTGGATGTTAGGTAATATAATGAAATATGTGCATTATAAATATATAAGACAAAAGATATAAAATGTATAATGTTTGGAATCTATCGTTATTCACACATGACATGATTGTGTACATGGAAAATTCAAATGAATGTATAGACTACACTATAGGAAATAAGTGAAATGACCAAAGTTGTTAGATCTAGGAAAATATACAAAACTGTAAACAAATAGCATTAAAAATATCAAATATTTATAAATACAAAAAATGAATGATATAAAATAATCTCTACATTGAAAAGTACAAAACATTACTAAGACAAATTTTAAAAGACTTAAATAGAGAGATATATAACGTTCATAGACCAGAAGATTCAAAGAATGTTGTAAAGAATATTGTTTGTGTTTTATGCATCTATATAGTACAATATTGAAATCAAGAAACTGATGTTGGTACAATCAACAGACCTTAGATTTCAGTAGTTTACCTGCATATATTTGTGTGTGTATAGTTTTATCACATGTGTAAATTGAAGTGAGCACCCCCACGATCAAGATATAGAATTCTTCCATCACCACAATTATCCCTCATGTTAACCCTTTAAAGTCATACTCCTCCACAATATCCCTAACCCATGACACTTATTAATGTGTTCTCCATCTCTATAGTTTTGTCATTTCAAGAATGTTATACAAATAGAATTTCACAGTATGTAAATATTTTTAAAGATTTTTATTAAAAATATAGCTAACATACAATATTATATTAGTTTCAGAGGTATATTATAGTTATTCAACATTTATATACCTAAAGAAATGATCACCATGATAAGTCCAGCAACCATCTGACGCTGTACTATGCTATCACAATATTATTGACTGTATTCGCTGTGTTGTATATTATATCCCCATGACCTATTTATTTTAAACCTAGAAATTTGGACCTCTTATTCCCTTTACCTTTCCTCCCCTTTTAAAATGTTTCAATTACAGTTGACATTCAATATTATTTTATATTAATTTCTGATGTACAGCATAGTGGTTAGGCATTTATATAATTTAAGAAGTGATCTCTGGGTTACTCTATTACCCAGCTAGCACTACATAATTATTACAATATCATTGACTATATTCCCTATGCTTTACTTTACATCCCCATGACTATTTTGTAACTACTAATTTGTACTACTTAATCTCTTCACCTTTTCTGCCCTGCCTCCCAAAGCCCTCCCATATATCACCCCAATAAATGTAGTATCCTCCTGACATAATACATAGTTATTACAATATTGACAATATTCCTTATGCTATACCCTACATCCTCATAACTACTTGTAACAACCAATTTGTACTCCTTAATCTCTTCCCCTTTAACCCCCCCAAATCCCCTCCGATCTGACAAGCATCAAAACATTTTCTGTATCTATGAGTTTGTTCTGTTTTTTTTTGTTGTTGTTGTTGTTGTTTTAAGATTTTATTGGGGAATTGGGGGAGGGGAACAGCATTGGGGAATTGAGGAAGGGAAACAAACAAGTTGGTGTCCTTTTGTTCTTCAGTCTAGTTGTGGAGGACATCACTTCACTGGCCCATGTTAGTGTTATTGAGCTCTCCCTGGGTGAGGCTCTCCTTGGATGGCCACTCACGGAGGCTCATGGCAGCTCACAAAAGCGCACGTCAGCTGCTGGCCAGCCCCACTGCAGCCTATGCCATCGCCAGCGACTCACGGCAGCCCAGCTTCAGGTTGAGCTGCTGTTCACCATCTTAGCTGTAGAGGGTGCAGCGTCACTGTCCCTCGTATGTGGGATCCGAACCAGGGCCCTGAGGCCTAGAGCTGGTGTCCCAAGCCAACTCCTAACCAATGCGCCACTCAGCCGGCCCTCTGTTTTGTTTTTTAATTTTGTCTTTAAATTCTACATATAAGCAAAATCATATTGCATCTGTCTTTCTCTGTCTGATATACTCCACTCAGCACAATACCTTCCAGGTTCATTCATGTTGCTGCAGATGGCAAGAACCATTCCCTTCCATGGCTGAGCAATACTCCATTGTATATATGCACCACCTCCTCTTTATCCATTATTCCACCTATGGATACCAAGGCTGCCTTCACATCTTGGCCATTGTAAACAATGCTGCAATGAACATATGGATGTACACATCCCCTCAAGTAGCATTTGGGTTTCTTTGGATAAATACCCTGAAGTGGGATGACTGGGTCCTTCTTTGTCTCTTGTTATAGCCTTTGTGTTAAACTCTGTTTTGTCTGGTGTAAGTATTGCTACGTCAGCTTTTTTTTGTTTTTCTTATTTCCGTTTTCATAAAATATCTTTTTCCATCTTTTTAACTTCCTGTGTGTGTCTTTCAATTTGAAGTGAGTCTCTTATAAACAGCATATGTAAGGGTTTTGTTTTCTTATCCATTCAGCCCTCCAATGTCTTTTTTTAAATTAAAATTTATTGGGTTGACAATGGCTAGTAAAATGATGTAGGCTTCAGATGTACAATTCTGTAATACATCATCTATATTATCACCTTGTGTGTTCACCACCCAGAGTCAGTTTTTCTTCAATCACCATATATTTGACCCCATTTACCCTCATCTACCACCATTCTCTCCCCTTACCCTCTGGTAATCACTAAACTATTGTCTGTGTCTATGAGTTTTTGTTTCTTTGTTTGCCTTGTTCCTTTGTTGCTTTCAGTTTTATAATCCATATATCAGTGAAATCATATGGTTCCCTACGTTTCCTGTCTGACTTATTTTGCTTAGCATTATAATCTCAAGATCCATCCATTTTGTCACAAGTGGCACTGTTTCATCTTTTCTTACGGCAGAGTAATATTCCATTGTGTATATATACCACATCTTCTTTAACCAATCGTCTATAGAAGGACACTTTGGTTTCCATGTCTTGGCCATCATAAATAAAGCTGCAATGAACATCAGAGCATGTATATCTTATGGATAAATGTTTTCAGATTTTTTGGGTAGATACCTAGGAGAGGGATTGCTGGATCATATAGGACTTATCAAACTAAAAAGCTTCTGCACAGCAAAAGAAACCATCAACAAAATAAAGAGGCACAACCGAATGGAAGAAATTTGAAAACAACACCCCTGATAAGGAGCTAATATCCAAAATATATAAGGAATTCATACAACTAAATAACAAAAACCCCCCCAAACAATCCAGTTAAAAAAATGGACAGAGGACCTGAATAGACATTTCTCCAAAGAGGACATACAAATGGCCAATAGACATATGAAAACCTGCTCATAACTAATTATCAGAGAAATGCAAATAAAAACCACAATGAGATATCACCTCACACCAATTAGAATGGCTATCATCATCAAGACAAATAATAACAAGTGTAGGAGTGGCTGTGGAGAAAAAGGAATCCTCATTCTCTGTTGGTGAGAATGCAGATTGGTGGAGCTGCTATGGAAGGCAGTGTGGAGGTTCCTCAAAAAATTAAGATTAGAATTACCATGTGACCCTCCCAAATGCTCCTTTTTATTGGAGCAGTTAAACCATTTACATTAAAAGTAATTGTTGATAGATATGTAGCTATTGCCATTTTATTATTCATAATTTTGATTTATTTTTTTAATCTTAAAGAATTCCCTCAAACATTCCTTGTAACACTGATTTGGTGGTGATGAACTCCTTTAGCTTTCTCTTGTCTGGGAAGCTCTTTATTGCTTCTTTAATTTTAAATGATAGCTTTGCTGGGTAGAGTAGTCTTAGCTGTAGCTCCTTGCTTTTCATCTTTTGGATATCTCATGCCAATCCCTTCCAGCCTGCAAAGTTTCTGTTGAGAAATCAGCTGGAAGTTTTATGGGAGCTCCCTTACAAATTACTAGTTGCCTTCCTCTTGCTGCTTCTAGGATTCTCTCATTGTCTTTAACCTTTGCTATTTTAATTATAATGTGTCCAGGTGTGGGCCTGTTTTGTTCATCTTGTTCAGGACTCTCTGTGCTTCCTGGGCTTGTATGTCTATTTCTGTCACCAGGTTAGAAAAATTTTCCATCATTATTTCTTCAAATATGTTCTCAGTCCCTTGCTTTCTCTGTTCTCTTTCTGGTACCCCTGTGATGCAAATGTTGTTACACTTGATTTTTGCCCCAGAGATCTCTTAAACTGTCCTCATTTTTTTGGATTCTTTTTTCTTTTTGCTGTTCCAATTGAGTGTTTTCTGTTACTTTGTCTTCCAAATCACTGATTTAACCCTCTGCTTCATCTAGTCTGCTGGTGATTCCTTCTAATGCATTCATCATTTCAGTTATTGTATTCTTCACTTCTGGCTTGTTCTTTTTAATGGATTCTGTGTCCTTTTTTTTATGCATGGTATCTCTTTGTTGAAGTTCTCACTAAGTTCCTTGAGCATCCTTATAGCCATTGTTTTGAACTCTGTATCTGGTAGGTTGCGCAGTGTCAGAATTTTGGTCTCGTTTTTCAACTTGATCTTCACCATCTGTGT